AATATTTTAATTTTGATAATTATATGTACATTATTATGATGCCGACTTTTCTTCCACGCCACCCATGAGGTGAAGTTGCCAGGCGCGTTTTTTTTAATGTGGTATCGCCACAGAAATAGATACTTTCATTCATATTTACGTTTCTAATACATTTCAGATGGAAATGGATATAGTGTAAATACTACTAAGTATCGATTTCTGCAGCCCTAATCCACTTAATCTAACTTACAAACTAATTATACCTAACTGACCCAAATATATCGCGAAAAGAAGAACCACCGCGAAATGACCTGATGTACCCAAAAATTTCGGTTTTAAAAATGAAAGAACCTCTCGTGGTAAAGAAAAAAATCAATATAAAATCTGTACTTTAGTATTTTAGCGGTGATTGTAAATTTATAAAAAGAGCATTTACATGATGTACCCCCCAGATCCACCATGTAAACACTTGGAAAAAAACTTCATAGGTTCCCAGCCTATGAAGTTTTATGACAAATGATAATTAATTAATGTAAAAAAAGCGCGAAAAATATAAGAGAAGTTCTTTCATGACGCCACCCTTTGAGCTCTGAATAAAAGTACGCGAACAACCCCAAAAAAAGGTACGATCGAAGATTTTAATGTCAAAACGTCCCTTAACCTGATATTAACTAAATACTACTATAATAATAAAAAGTCTTATCTCACAGTTAATTTTCCTTTTGATTATGTCATATCATCCAATTCTGTTGCAGGCGGTAGTTCAGGTAGTAGTAGTGGTGCTAGTTGGTTTTGAGTTGATATTTTCTACCAAATCTCGTGCAAGACCTAAAAAGAATAGAGTTTCACTACATTTATTTGTATGGGTTGTAGAAGTAATTGTTGGTACCCACTTGCACATATCCTTTAATTTGGTAGTGGTCTCCTGGTGGTTCGTGTATATCTTCGTAAAACATATAGACACACAATACAATGTCTTCTTTGAAAGACATCTGAAATGAAAAAAAAAGCACAAATGCCCCTAAAAATAGGACAAACAAATAAACGGGGCCCCGGTTATATTAATAAAAGAATGTATGGTCATAACTAATAATAAGGTTAAATTAACAATAATAGGATAAAAACCCTTAAATATGCGTATCCTCCTGGCAGGTATTTAGAAGTCTTGGTGCTTTGTGGTGCGAAAAGAAATTAATTCTGTAACCCTGAAATAAAAGTGGTTTAGAAAATATAAAGAAAAAAGATTTATACATATTACTTAGCAGCATGCCAATAATTTTAGTGTTTTGGTACATCGATTGGTCTGACCATGTCCTCCTATGAGTTGTGGAAGTAGTTCTTGGTACTCACTTTCTATTCGGTAGAGGTTTTTTGGTAGTACCTGTATGCTTGGTAAGCAATTTTCTTGAAACGATATCTGAAATGAGATAAAAAAAAACACAAGTGCCCCTAAAAATAGGGACGAACATACAAACGGGGCCCCGGTAACAAAAATAAAAATATTTTATACTTATATCTAACTAAGGTCTAATTACTTAATATTAACTTATGAATACGAGAAACCTGTACGTATCTATATTGAGGTGAACTGAAAGGGTTAAGGGTACTCTTGTTAGAGTGCAATGATTGCTATTTGGTATGTTTAGCATCTCACTCCAAATATGAAAGGTAATTTAACTCTGCATGCCTGAAATAAAAAGTGACTTGAGAACATGGAATATGGAATTATGATGAATCATAATTACTATATGTGGCAACCTGCTTGTAATCATTCCAGTGCTCTGGTACATCATATAGGTACACATCTTCTCCTGTTCGTTGTTGTAGTATTCAACCTCCTGGTATCTTTAGTTGAGGCCCATTTACACTAAAATAAATATTAATTTTGTTATTTTTTTACATAATTTAGGGTTTTGTATCATCATACTTTTTTTCAACTTCAAACAGTACGTCTTCAACATTTCTCCGTTTAGGAGACTTATTGTGCAATCACAAAAAATTTAAAATTTTAATTAAAATATGTTCATTGCATTACGGTAGAAAAATCAGTCAAAATAAAACAAGTAATTTATTTAACAAAGTTTTTAGATTTTTAGACGAGTTATTTACATCCATGCTACTAATAAAATAATTCCAAAAAAATAAACATTGTACAAATAATACTAATTATAAATTAAAGTGTATGGGGTTGCGTTGCTTCTGGGAAAAACATCGCAAGGACCCATACACCGAACGAAAAAAAAAATTATTAACGAAACGCGAATTACTAGAACCTGCCGTAGGGGGTAGGCGACAGGAACACATTTAAACGCGGAAATCGTTTCAAACGATATTAAAATTACGAACAAGTCTTCGCACGAACAAAAAAAAAATTAAATTGTCGACGCAAATAACTCAAAATTATAATTTAACAAAATTATAAAAAATAATTAAAAACTGTCAATGTGATTGAATAAAAAAAATTCATGCACAATAAGCCCTAAAGCAATCCGCCACTGCGCAAAACACTGTATGAAATCTGAAACAAAACAAATGTAGCCAATCGTAAATATTTGAAACATAAGATTTATATAAAATTTAATATTTAATTATATTTAAATTTAATAATCTAAAGATTGCATTAAATTATTTATGTTAACTCAAAGGCTAAAATTAAATATTTTCACGACAATAAACACTAAGGCGACACTTCAGCACAAATATATTGGATTAAAAAATGTAACGCAAATCGTTTAACATTAAAGAGACGAATTTTCACTTCAATTATTTACATTCTTTTAATTATAATTCAACAGAAAATCAAGTCAAATCGAATCAACCAAAAGACAAGTTCCATGACACGTATTTGAAAAGAATGCACGAAATGATTACATAATACATAAATGTTTCAGAGACTTACCACTGACTGTAGTGTTCACCGAGAGGTCCAAATACAGAATGATTTTAGTTGTTTTACGCACTCTTTTATTGGGGTCAGAAAGGGACAAAACTATGAATTGTTACCAGATGATACTAAAATTCAAAAATTGTTATCTAATTGAATAGTTTCGGGTTCGGAACCATAGAGGGTGCAATACGAAAAGTTTATTGCACCTCACAATAGTCATAATTCAACCTTCGTGGCGACATGGCCCAAATTATTACTGCTAATATTGCATCTAGTTCTGTTTGATTCATATATTTGATTTGATTGTGAAGTATTATTTGTATTAAATACGTTTTTATTTGTATTTGCGTCTTTTCAATTTGTGCGTTTCTATATATAATTGTAAAATAAAACTAGTGGTGTATGGCATTGTGCCTTAAGGCAAATTGCTGGAACTTTCCGTACCGTAATAGAATATTCGAGAAATTTTAAACGGTTTTCAAATATATTATTACAGATACAGTAACTTTCATTATTTTTGTTATATCTTGTTATATCTGAGCAAATTAAATGTAAATCATAAATCAATTTATCTGCAGAACATTAACAATCGTCATTCTTTTCGAATTCAATTTCAAAAAAATAGTTGCCTAAAGGGTCTGGGCGTGTTTCCATACAGAATTGGCCCCACCCTGGTATTTAAATAATTTTGATTTCGAAATACCAAATTTCAAATCCGTAGCTCATCATTTGGCCGAGGTATCAGTGAAAACATGTGAAAGTGGTCCCTTTTTTTAAACTCACTTTTTGTCGGAAATATGAGAGATATCGAAAAACTGTTAACGTCATTCTATTTGTACTGATCTTGTCTATGTTGTCCATAATAAATAATGTGAAAAAATTACTTGTTATTGCGTGAAAAGGTGAAAATGATTTTCATTTTCCATTTTTTTGTGCGGCTTTTTTGACTACTTTTATATTAGCATCATACGTAAAGTTGTAATAATTATTGAAATTAAAAAAAAAATCATTCGAAAGCCTGTACATTTTTCTTTATTGTGCAAAAATTCATTTAAATCTAAGTGGAAATTGGGAGAAAAGTTGGAATAACTTAAGCTAGTTTACCTCGATTACCTTTTCTAATCCATGCGCTCG